CTGCCTCCCGCACACCCCCCACTGGGGATGTGCCCGCAACCAAGGTACATGCCCCTGACCGGAATCGAACCTGGGACCCTTCAGTCTGCAGGCCGACGCTCTATCCACTGAGCCAAACCGGTTAGGGCTAATTAGCCTTTTTATATTAATCACTGATAAATGTAGAAATTTCCTTTAAAGTGGCTAAAAACCACTGAAAAAGGATCCTGTGTTTATAGTGTTGTTTATAGCCATATCATACATGAGGAGTCCTGTGTAACGATTATCTTTATGTAGCCTGTGCCCAACTGGCCTATGCTGAAAGTAATGGTACTGAGCATTACCTGGAGGTGTCTCAGAGTTTGAAGTTACTCTTTGGGTGTTTTATGGGAAAACATCACTGCCTTAGTCTAGTTCTTGGTGAAACAGTAGGAGCTACTTTCCTCGAGACGAGAGGAACCTTTTCAGCACGGTTTGTGCTTTTCTGCTCACCTTCTCTCCTTCACCAAGACCCTCTGTGACCTTGAGGCTGTTGGTGTCTGTGCGGTTACTGCAAAGGAGAACTCGAAATGACATAAATCTTACACCTGATTTACATGTTAATTATTAAACTGAAGTCTTCCTGAAGAAAATGGTAAGCTTTTAAAGGCAGACTGCTCTTTGTCGTTGATAAAAATCTTTGGAAAACTGTTAGGCAGTCCGTAATAAAGTTAAATATAAACCTACTCTGTGACCTAGCAGGTCCACTGCTAGTATACACACCCAGGAGAAATGAGTGTGTGAACTTATTTTAAAAAGTTCAAGGTGGCTTTTCACTTAATAGCCCCAAACTGGAAACAATCCCAGATGTCCCATCGATAGCAGATTAGATAAACTGGTATATTCATTCATTGGAATATTCAGTGATGAAATATAGTTTGAAATACTGATATATGCAACAAAAATCATTATGTCGAGTGAAAGAAGCAAGACAAAAGGATTCATATTCAGCTTCGAAGGACAAAACTGATCCATGATGACAGAGGTCAGAATGGGTAACTTGGGGAGGTAGGTCTTGACTGGAAAATGGCATGAGGGACTTTCCGGGTGATGGAAACGTTCGGATCTTGATCTGAGTGGAGGTCACATGAGTGTTTACATGTGTAGTAATTCATGGAGCTGTATGCTTAAGGTTTGTAAAATACTGAATGAATGAAAGACAAAAGGAAATTCCTTCATGCTTGACTTTCTCTTCCTCTGCCCCGTGCATATGGATTAAATTAGGGATTTGGACTAATTCAATCTATTAACTTTGCTTTTTTTCTTATGCTTTCCCACCTCTTCCTTTGTCCTTCACCCCCTATATTTTCCCCTCTTCTTAACCTTGGTTTATCCTTGTTCCTTTAAACTCTTCCATGGTTTCACACGAATTCTTTAGTGATGAGACCCAATGAGCAGGTTCTTGAGTCTTGGTGGGTTGCTCGCGGCGTGGCTGCCAGGAGTGCATTTGGGTCAGCCCCCACCCGTTTGCTGGTGCTCTGTGCCGGCCCTGGGTTCACCGTGGCAGGAACTGGACCCAATTTTGTATGTGATGAATGGAGTCTTAAATGTACTGTACACAGAATTTACATTGCAAATAAATTTTACTTTCTAGGAAAGCTTTAGATTTATTTTTGTGATTTGTTACATGGAGCATATGTACATATATTTTATTAAATAACTTCTTTTGGTACTTAAAATAACTTGACATAATAATTTTACATTGTGTATTATTCATTATATAATTATTTGAACTTGTACTAGAATAGAGAGAATAAGATAGTGAATATCTCTGTACCCATCCCCAGCTTCAGCGGTTATCCACACATGATGGCCAATCTTGTTTCATTTTTTTAAATCCTCACCCAAGGATATTTTTTCCAATGCATTTTAGAGAGAGTGGAAGGGAGGGAAGGAGGAAGAGAGAGAGAGAGAGAAAGAGAGAGAGAGACACCAATGAGAGAGAGACACACACACATCAGTTGGTTGCCTCCTGCACACACCCTGACCAGAAGGGGCATCGGGGATTGAACCTGAAACCAGGGTATATGCCATTGACAGGAAATCGAACCGAAGACCCTTCAGTGCACAGGCCGACGCTCTAACCACTGAGAACACCAGCCAGGGCCAATTTTGTTTCTTATCTCTCTCCTCTGAGTTATTTTGAAACTAATCTCAGATATATCACTTCATCCATGCATGCTACCATGTGTATCTATGAAGATTATCTACAGAAAGCATTACGCACTTGTATTCCTTTGTCCTGTTGTTGGTTATAGAAAAAATTCAAAATTTATTTTCATTAGACAAATCCAAGAATTACTGATGACTGTGTTCCTTGCTAATTTTAGTTGCTTGATTGCCAAATATAAGTAAAAATATTCACAGGTGATGGTGTTTAATGACTAGATAATTGTAAGTTTTCTGGGATAAGTAATGATGAAATTCAAAACTTTCTTAATATCTGAATTGAGCAATCTGTAAAACTTGTGTTTGCCTTGTTTTGAAATAGTATCACTATAAAGTTGAGTTTTGGGTCATTCATTACTGTACAGAAAAGGTTGCAAAACCCCAGATTCCAGATTTCATTTGGAACGATTTTCCTGTTTATGTAGTTTGGTTATGCACGCCCTTAGAAAAGCAGACCTACTTCCAGGGTGTTTACATGTAATATAGATAGGGCTGGCACGATTCATTAGGGAAATATTTCACCTGTGTGCCTTTGACATGTGTCTTCACAGGTAGTATCACTCCCACGGTGGAGCTGAATGGGCTTGCCATGAAGCGGGGAGAGCCTGCCATCTACAGGCCACTGGATCCAAAGCCCTTCCCAAATTACAGAGCTAATTACAACTTCCGGGGCATGTACAATCAGAGGTGTGTCTCTTTCTGGTTTTGTTCTTATTTATTAGTTTATGCATGTGGTAAACGTTTCTGAAACTCAAGGAGTGTTTTCATTGTAAAGAATATTGACTTCAGGCATATTTCATGGGACTTAGATAAATCAGACTCACAGGAATATTTCACTTAAAAAATAACTGGTTTTCAGGAACTGGTTTTTATTGAGTCATGAGACCCCTATGTTTGCTTTGGGCGGGACCATGTTTTAAAGTCATTCCACAGTCTAGTGCTGACCGCCCAGTTGACTTGCTCATTTCCTCACCAAGCAGGTGGTTAGCTTAATTAGTGTTTTCCTTATTTTGTCCGAATATATTGCAAGCATGAGTGCTTCTAATTTTTTTAAAGACAGTTTTTCATGGTGGATAAAAGCTATGAAATTATAGGACACATCAATGAAATTTAGTACTGTGAAAAGGAGTAAGAGCCTACTTAAATTCTCTCCTGAAAGAGTTTTAATAATTTATAAAAAATTTGTTGGGAGGATTTACTAAGTCTTTCTGTACATTACATAATTTTGTGATAGTTATAAGTGTAACAATTTTATAAGCATGGCAGGATTTTTAAAAAGGTTTATAATTTTTTTTCTGATCATTTGTAAAAGTAATTTAACTCATTATAGAAGATGTGAAAAATGCAGAAAGTTAAAAAGAAATTATAAATAATTTGCAATCCCAGATTTAACCACCTTTAATATTTTGGTGTACTTTATATATATTTTATACTTTACATATAAATATATTTAACCAAATTGGAGTTACCCAATATATATGCAATTTCTATAGTACTTCATGGAGGTTTATGTGAATGATAAAATGTACAAACCTTAAATGTACATCTGGATGACTTTATTTGATTATTTATGTATAGATGTAATTATAGTTAATTATAGTTTATTTGATGACTTTTTACCTGGGTGAATCCTCATTTGTCACCACCCCCCCTGGGAGTTTCCTCCTCCCGCATCCCTCCTCCCTGAAGTAACCACTCTTCTGTCACCATAGACTGGTTTTGCCTGTTACAGAACTTCATATAACTAGACTCATACAGTATTTACTCTTCTGTATCAGACTTTTTTCACTTTATGTGATGTTTTTCTTGGTTTCTTTGTTTACTTTTCTTTTTAGAGATTCATCCATGTTGGGTTTTGCTCTTTTTTATTGATGAATAATGATCCTTTTTATTGAGGAATAATGTTCCTTTGTATGACTATATCATAATTTGTTCATCTCATATATGTAACATTGCCTTCTTTTCACTTAATATAGTGATCATTTTTCATATCTTTAAGTAATCTTCAAAAAATCTTTTTCATGGGTATTAATGCTTTATATGGCCAAGGTATACTTTATAAGTATATACATAGGTATAAACAATGAATATTTTATAAGTAAACAAACAAAGCATACCTCTTTTGATCATTTAGGTTTCCCTTTTTATGATAGTTATAAATAATGCTGCAGTAAACTGTCTTTATATACAGATTTTTGTTTATATCACTGATTATTTCTTTAAGATACATTACTGCAAGGGGGTATTGGATTAAAAGAATATCGTTTTGCCCAATTACATTAAAGTTTTTACTAATTTCTTACAGTATATTCCATTGCATTCTGACAACACAAATTGGGTTTGAACGCATTGTCTTGTTTGACAGTTAAAAAGTGTAATGTTTTTAGATTTTGGTTTTATTGATTACTTGTGAGACTGAACAGTTTTTCAAATATTTATTAGTTGCTTTTTTTTTTTTTTTTGACTTGTCTTTTTGAGTTTGCTAACTTGTATTGCAGTGCTTGACCAACCTTCAAATGTTTACGTGTTGGGGGTATTACATTAATTATTTGTTTAATTTTCCTGCTTAAAAAAATTGGCTAGTTTTGTGTTTGTTTTGTGTAATATACTACAGTTTTAAATGTTACATGGTCTAATCTGTTAATTATATTTTTGTTATATCTTTCACTACTTTTATGTCTAAGGAATTTTCACATGTGATCAGATATTTGCTGATGCTCTGAAATTTTTTTATTGAGGTATAATTGTTGTGTAACATTGTGTAAGCTTAGGGTGTTGGACATTGATTTGACACATTTATATTGCACTATAATTGCCATTGTAGTGTTAGCTAATATCTCTAGCATGTCACATAATTATCGTTTCATCTCTGGATGGGCTGCTGATGCTTTTCAAATCATTTCGTATATTTACTGATATCACAGACTCAGATGTGAGGAGAAGATATTTATTTGGTCTATACGTAATCTGATATTTTTTGGTGTCTTGCTTGGTAATGGAAAAAATTACTATTTAATCCTACTTATATTGTAAGTAACTCATTTAACTATTGCTCAGGTTCTCTGAGAAAACCCTTTGAGACAATCTCGTAGACTTCTGCCCCTCCCCCTTCCTCCAGGGGTGTCTGGGGAATTGACTGTCCTGTCCCGGTGGGAAGGGGGGCCCTCGTGTCTGTCTGGGGCCTGCATTGTGCTCTGGCTCCTCCGGTCTTTGTGGTGATGTCCCTTGTCCATGGGTAGCTGGCACCTATCTTGCCTGCCCCGCCGAAACCTGCACGTGGTGATCGTGGGCCGTTGCCTCCTCCTAAGTACCCCTCCCGAGCATCTGCCTTCTTTCCTGGCCGCCGTGGCCCACACCTTAGCTCTCCTCGGCTCCCTGGGATGCTGTTCCATCCCTCTGTGTCCTCTCCAACCATGGAGCATCCTGTGGCGTCTACACCGCGTAGGAGGCAAGAGGGACATCACATTTGTCCTATAGTTGCCTCACTTTCTCTTCTTCTGTATAACATACCCATTCCCTTTCTTGTCAGTCTGAGTTTACCTAATATAAATGAAACTACTTGCCTACTTGAGTTAGGAACCTCGTCTATTTTATGTTTGCAAGATAGTTAACTTTTAATGTGCTATAACGAATAGACTCATGAGGACATTATACTTAATAGACTCATGAGGACATTATACTTAAATGTTTATTGATTTTGATGTCTATAATCCTGTATTGGGCTTTTGCTAGAATTTCGATTAGTGAATTTATTGCCTATTTTTTATTTTCGTGTTGTACTATCATTGACGTATAACATTATAAATTATTGCTTTCGAATGAAAGAAATCTGGTGGGAAAGCAGTGAGACATCTGACATTAATCTCTGTCCTTAGGAGCTCATGTCCTAGTGGGGGAGGCAGTCGCAGTAAGAGGCAGTGTTACTCACTGAGACGGTGACAGTGTTAATAAAGAGCTGAAGGAAGAGAGGAAATGAGCAGTGGGGATGGCACTGGAGGGAGGAAGGGCGTTCCAGGCAGAGAAACGCCTAGTGCAGTGATGGCGAACCTTTTGAGCTCGGCGTGTCAGCATTTTGAAAAACCCTAACTTAACTCTGGTGCCGTGTCACATATAGAAATTTTTTGATATTTGCAACCATAGTAAAACAAAGACTTATATTTTTGATATTTATTTTATATATTTAAATGCCATTTAACAAAGAAAAATCAACCAAAAAAATGAGTTCGCGTGTCACCTCTGACACACGTGTCATAGGTTCGCCATCACTGGCCTAGTGCAAAGGCCCTGCCGTCAAGTGCAAAGGCCCTGTGGTCGCTGAGTGCCCGGCAGCAGTGTCCTGAGTGCTGGTGCCTCCATTGGGCCAGAGGGGCGGGAAATAAGGATGTGACAGGGGTCAGGGGTTTGGATTTTATCTTTTCTGCTTTAGATCTTCTGCTAAGAACGCTGGCATTTTTCCTTTGTCGGCAATTCCTAGTTTCAGGATCTGATTCCGTGGTTGTCATGAAGTTGCAAGGATTTGATTTGACTTCTCCAAAGGGTTGTGCCTTCGGCCATTTCCATGTAGTGGATAAAGCGGGCTTTCCCTTCAGGTTTTTGGAGGGTCTGAGTCACTAAAAGGGCAAAAAGAAAGGAGGGAAGCCGCCAGGCCATGTTTTACAAAAGCTCTCCGCTCCCTAAGGCCAGACCTCACCGCTACTCGGTTAGAATTAGGATACCGCAGAGGAGCTTCATTTGCAGAGGACGCCACCCGCATGTGTTACAGGGAACTCGAGCCAAAGATTCGAGGAGACGCTTCTTGTCAGATTCCCGGTGAGTCGGCAGCTTCCTAATAGGGCAGGGAATGAAAGGTGAAGGAGTTTAAGAAACAGGTAGCATTTCCAAGGGATTTCCGAAAAGGTCCTTTCGTTTTCTACTTAAAATAATCTTAAGCAATAATTAGCAATTGCCCAGGCTGTTTTGTTGTTTTTTAAGTCTGTTCTTTCCTGATGAGGTTCCTCCACCTGCACTCATTCAGAGGCTAAGGAGAACCTCATCAACAGGCCTTTTCCTCCTCCACCCATTGCTGACGCTGGAGGAAAAAGAGATGATTATTTTCACCTGGACTCTGAAGTCCCGGTCTCCCTTTGCTACCCCCAAGATGTTTGAAAATGAGTACATCCAGTTACATCTTTTTTCTTTTCCTTTCTCATTTGGAGCCCTGTTGGCTCACATATAAAGTTGAAAGCATCCACAAATTTATATGTCCAAGTACAAGATGTAAAGATTGGAGAGCATTTTATGCTTCTGTTCTCCCAGCTTTGTTACAAAAAAGTATACACGTTATCTCAAGGAACAGGATGGTTAAGATCAGGCCTCCAACAACTTGTCCACTTTGTATATTCACAGATGAAAAGAAGAGCATTACTGGTTGGCTGAAGCCAGAGGGCCCGGTGTGCTGACGCAGGCTGCCCATCTCAGGCTGGCCCATGTGGAAATGGGGGTTTTGCCCCGTGTGACTGAAGGTCTGGCGGGGAGACCTGTAGGCGTGGTTGGATGCAGGGCTTTAGTGTTGCGCATCTCATTTTTCTTCTGCTTGACTTTATTTTCAAAGAAACTCGCTTCCATTAGCTATACCTCGTGTGATACCAGACCCTCGACTTGTCATCTGGAGAAGGAGAAAAAGGTTTTGGTTTTGGATTGTTCTTAGA